TATCCTGCTTCATTGCAGAAATCTGAGACTGCACCTCAGAGCACAGATGCCAGGAGCCCTGGGGTAATGTCAGGACAGCAGGGAAGATGGGGTTGATTGAGGCAGTGTGACTCCAGTCTGCTAATAATCATCTGAAACCATACTAGTGAGTAAGGACTGGTTTTTAAAATATTTTAGCAGAATATAAAGTATGAACTAAAAACGGAATAGTGGGCATCACAATGAATCACCCATAGTAAGGATAGGTATTTTTTCATGAAAAAAATATATTACATGTACACTTTGGAGAGATGTACAATGTATAATATATTTCTCACTATGAATGAAGGTTATAAAAAAGAAAATCACTGCACTGGACAATGCAATATCAGATAAACTCAAAAGAGGTAGGACCTTCCCAAATCATGCTGTTCAGCCTCTTCTATGTAGAAAGTAAATTTTTTAGAATAAAAAGTTTCCAAAGTCTAAGTCTGGCTGGTGAAGAAACCTTATGGGAAGTTGGGCTTCTCTGTCATGGGTGCTGCTACTACCCCACCTGGCATCTAGCCTGGAACCTGAAACTATTCTCTGTAAGAGTTGCACTTGAACAAATGGTCAGAGCTGGCAGGAAGGGGTAATTTCCTACATGGTATTTAATAGAGAAGCCAGGATACAAGATGAGGACTGTCAAGAGAGAACTAAGGGGTGCACCCATTCCAGAACAGAGGGTATCCCACAGAATCCTGCCTCACTGCTGGTGTTAGTTCTGGGAGACTGCAGGCAGGGGTCCCAGGCTGAGCAGCCCTCCCTCATTTCCAGCTTGGTGGTCTCAGGAAGCTGGGGGCTTTGGTCTGAGGGTGGCAGACAGGTCAGCAAATGGAGGAATCCAGACCTTGCTAGTTGACAGGGTGAGGACCTGCAGGAGTATTTGAGGGCCTGAAGAAACCTGCCCTGTTTCTGTGGTTAGCCCTGGGACTGGATGTGCTCAAAAGAAGGGAGGGGCTTGTCCCCGCCAAACATCAAGGTGAGGATCCTGAGGGAGGACTAAATAGACCCAAGCCCCAGATAGAGGAAGTGCCGCAGAATCTAGCCTTTTACCTGCTTTCAGCCCTGGGAGGCCCTAGAGCATGGTGGCCAAATGGGGTGTCCCCTGACGTCTCACTAGGGCATCAGGGAGAGGTGAGAACTTTGATGTGAGGGGCCCAGTTTCATGTCAGCAGAAGGGAGGGGACTCAGGCTCTGCCAGGCATCCAGAGGAGGATCTTGAGGGAGGACTGTGAAGACTCCCCAGACTAAAGGGAACGCACAGAAAGCTGCTCATGTAATGAGAATGGGGGATCCCAGGCAGGTCAGTCAGGCAGAAGTGTCCCCTCTTTCGACAGAGGGAGTCTCGGAAATGAGGGCCTTGGACTGAGGGGTGCATCAGATCTTCAAAAGGGAGGACATGCAAGCCCTGTCCTTAGTAAATATAAATGCCCTGGACACGTCCCAGGATATGCCTACAATCTCAGATGGGAGGGTGGTGACAGGGAGCTTGCCCTGCACCTGACGTCAACCCTCAGTTGCCCTGGTGCAGAATGGCCCATAAGATGCTCCCTCACTTCCACCTTGATGTTCTTGGGAAGGGGAAGGGCTTCTTCTGGGGCTGGTGAGCTCAGCTCCAGAGAGAGAAGTGGCTCAGGCTATGCCAGGAGTCAAGATGAGGACCCTGAGCTAGGACTGAGGGGTTTTTCCGCCCCAGACATCGCCCTACCCATGCAGTTATCCCGGGGAGACCCCGGGCAGAGTTCCCGTATGGGGCGTGTCTGGACTTCCGTGTCAGGAGTGAGGGACTTGAGGCTTTCTCTGAGCGGAGCAGACAGGTCAGAAGAGAGAGGAATCCTAGGCTCTGCCAGGCTTCGAGGTGAGGACCCTGAGGGAGAAGGGGGAGGCTTCCCCTGGCAGGGGGTAGGGGCCGGGCTCTGCCCTGCCGGTGCCATCAGTCCTAGAAAGCCGCGGGCACGGGTGGTCGGATGTGGCGTTCTGTGACTTTCGTCTTGGGACTC